GTTCATCCAGCTCTACACCTGGTTATCCCAGTTATCTATAATACCATTTCCCCCAACTGGATACTCAACGGGGAATATGTTCAAATTTAGTTTAGATTTAAAATACTGAACAGAATATGTTCAAAATAATTGCAAGTTACATCAGTGTAAATAAGAGAATTGAAATTTCACTGTTACTTTTAAAACAATCTGCAGAAATCAGTTGGAGCCTGTTCTGGCTCATTGAAAGCTGTATAATTTTGGGTTCCAATCCTGAGATTTTCGTCCCCAAAATTCTGCAAATTAGTCAAGTACATATTCAATTGTCTTTTATAAGTTGCTAATGGGTCTGATGTCACCATCCTTTTAAGTATTTTGGATCTTAAACTTTTGATGACACTTTTTAAAATTTGCCTTCTAGTTCTTTTGTCAGTTCGTCTCAATCTATGAGATATGGTTAAAGAAACTTGTCAGAGTTTCTCCCTATTTGCTCCATCAGAACATCACAAAGGGTCTATCTCTATTATGTCACCTCTTTTTTCCTGTGTTCTAAGAACAACTCTAGCTTCTCACATTTCACTACATCACGAGTTCTTTATTTCAGATATCATTCGAGTATCCCATCCTCTAATCTCAAAGTCTCGACATCCTTAAAGCATTGTGCCCAGAATTATACACAATGGTCCAGTTTAAAAATAAAAAGATATAACATGACTTTCTTCCGTTTTCTTAAACGCTCAACTTACCCATTTGTAATTTTACCTATTACCCACAAATAAAAAAAAGTGAACTAGAATATACATTTCAATACATATAGGTGTAATTTTGAAAACACAACCTTCAAATATTTCTGAATATGCAAGACAGACCTATCTGCAATTGCAGCTCACCAAAACATACTGCTTCTCCATTTAGTTTCTCAAAAAATGCACAACCTCAGTCATCTGCCTAAAACTGCATTTGCCACATGTCTACCTACATCACATTAGGTCTTCCTGAAGTCTATTGTCCTAGCAATTTCTTTTTGTGTTATACAAAAATTGGCAACGTATTCCTTAAACCTAAGAATAATATATACATAAAAGTAATAATTCCTATACCAATCCCTGGAGAATCCCACAACATACCAAGCTTGATTAAAAAAAAAAATTCAATCTCAACCCTCTGCGATAACATAATTAAAAATTGAAGAAATTCAAAGAACAAATCATTACATCAAAGTTCTTTATTCCACTAAAGTCCATAACAAAGATTGTTATGGATTAAGGATATCTGGATGCCCCTGCTACCAACAAATTGAAGCAAAAACATCAATGCTAGCTGGTAGAGACTAAAAATTGGATGTTGACAGATCAAAAGGTTAATTTCATAAATCATTGGTTCCACTGAACTCAGAATACTAAATTTTGAATGTCACAATACAAAAAAAAGAATATGGCATATACTGAAAGGATGCAAATGCAGAGTGATTAAAGGAATGGAAGATTTGGATTATGAGGAATCATTACACAAATTCATCATACTTCACTAGAGAGAAAAAGTTGAGAGGTGATATTGATTGTTTAACATCCAATTAATGCAGATGCGACAAGTTATTTCAACTTGTCCAGAACAATAGTACCAAAAGGACAAAGCCTGTACTCAAAGGCAGGTAAATTCAAACATAATTCAGAGAAATATTTAAATGAAAAAAGCAATCATTCTATGGAACAGGATCCCTAGGAGGCGGTGGAAGCAGTTAGTATGGTTTCAAATGCAAATTATATTTATCCCTGAAAATAACAACATTTAGTAGTACAACGTATGGGGAATTTCAGACAAAACATGTGGTAATAGTAAGCTTGAAGGAACAGCTGACATTGGAATCACAAATCCCAAAGCTCTTCATCATGGTTTGAACTACCAGAATTACAGAATGTGATCTAGATAGATCTTGACCTACTCTTTTGTCTTGCAATTTCTATGAGGAATATTACTAGTGTGAACAAATCATGGTCAATTTTTTATACTGTGGAAAGTGAATATATAATTGATAACAGATGTTTATTTTGGATCAAACAGAATCTCACATCTTGGAATGTGATTTCTATAATCCACTAAGAAAAATACCTACTTGGGTAGTACAAGCTTTGCAGAACTGCTTGATTTTTCCAGCAGTTATATCAAGATCTTCATAACATTCTTTGCATTCATAAAGTGCAAGACCTCCACAGATACGACAATCTCTGGGTGCTAAAATAAAAAGATAAGATTATCAACTAGTTGTATTGTACTTTGAACTGTTTAAGAAAAACAGCTTTTAATAGAAGAGTTTGAATTTTTCAGCACACCTCAAAATTATTTGCCCAAAATGTTTTTATTTACACTCATTTCTCATGAGCAACAGACAATTTGAATGAAGAATTATCTGTCTCTACCGACATCTTCTGATTTTTGAAATCAGGAAGAGACTAGCCTGTCCACTGATCATTCATACTGCACTAGCAATTTATTAATACACAGTGAAAAAATAATAAAACATACCCTCTCAAGATGTCAATAACTAAATATCCAAGACGCACATGACTGAATGATACAGTTCAGTTGTCAAGTCTAAATTAATATTGTTTGCTAAATGAATCACCTTCAGCTGGATTGGTGTAAAGATGTTAGAATTTTCTTCAGTGCACTTGGGCTTGGGGGCAATAAAAGACACTAACGGACATAAGTAATGAAAGCAAATGGTGACTAAGTCATAATCTCTTTCATTTTACCACAAGAGAATATCTGCCCTCTGCCTTGTGCAAGTAACTGCATGCCTCTGGTACCAATTCCATTAACCTGCCAGACTAAAGCTAGTGGCAAACAAACTTTGCATTTTATTTGAGCAATCTTCTCAAACTCACATCTCCACATATACCTTTCAAATCTTGAGAGTCTAGACTATTTACCTGGTCTTCTGCTTCACTGCTAGAGACGAATGTTGCAAGTGATTTGGTATTTTAACCTAATACTACATTGTTTCACTCGTTTCTTGCTATCACAAGCTTCCTAAATCCTTATGGCCTTGTGTCCATACAAGGCACATAAAAAGTGCTAGGTGTTTTACGGAATCGCCTGCCAGCAATCTAGGTTTAATCGATAAAGAAGAGCGACTTTGGAGACATACCAAACACTGTCAACACCATCTTCCAATAAGTAAAATTTTACTCCTGCTTCATTAAATTTGTTCCAAAAATTCAAAAAGAAAAAGGAATTGTAACTGCTTCAGCAGAAAACATTTGTCTCAACTCAATGACATGGTTGTGAATTTGACATTAGTTCTCTGTAAATACTAATGGTGAATACCCTAGGTAGCCAACTTTGCAATGTTAAATTTGTAGCTAGTGTTACCCTTTTAGGGAATTCATTGCACCAACCTTGGAGAAAACCTTTTTCTTTTTAAAATCCTAATAAACGTCAAAACCCCAGAAAATGTGTGATATTGAAAGTACAGAATTCTTTGAAAAAAAATCAATTAACATGATGGGCATGATGACAATTATCAACTTGGGATGGCAGTAGGATATGAAGGAAGTAACCAACGGCAGAAATTGACCATCAGATTACTTAGAAAAAGTGGCAAAATTGGAAAACGAGAAGAATTTGTAACTTACTGAGTAAGCACCTGAAATGATTCTAGCTTCAGAAATTTTCTTTTGAAAAACATCCTCTTTTAAAGAGAGTCTGTACTGCACTTCCTGGGCTTCTTGCAATGTGGTACTCCCTCAAGTGGCTGCTAACTATATTACAGACAAAACCAGCAAAGTGCTGAAAATTCTTATCTTTGCTTGCCTATAAACAGTGATTATGTTCAAAATTTTTATCAGGGCAATATTAAAAGCTGTCGGACACCAAAAAAAATACAACCCATCCACAGCCAGACCCACAAGCAAAAAACTATGACAGACAAGGACTCAACTGGGAGTTACCGTAACTCAGCGGAGTAAGTAATGAAATCAATTCAAAAATTCTTAAGAATTTGTTGCTTAGGAAAGTTAGAATCTGTGAGAAATGAAAAGTTCAAAAGTAATTATGGCAAATTGTCATTACTCCAAATAAAAATGTAGGTGGCAGACACACCAGATTAATTGCCCTGCAGCCAGGAGTTTGATGACACAAGGAGCAGAACCAGCACAAGAAATTGTACATTTTCTATGGTGTGGTAGAGCTATGAATGAAAATTGTTCAATATTAGAGGAATAACCCAGACACCTCTCAATAAAATGGACAATAAAAATCATAAACAGAATATAAAAGCTAATTCCTAATATGGGATTTTGTGGAGATAAATAATATTCAAGAAACAGCTCACAAACTTCACACCAGGGTAATTAGTGACACTCAAGACTATTCAATTTAAGACAATTTAAAATAACAGTAATAATAATAAAACAGACTACTCAATGAGGATAACAACATACAGCCAAGAAACAATGCTGCAGCCCCAAGGTCAGGAGTGCAACAGTTCCTTCTTTGGCTGCTAGATATCGCTATTCCAATCTATTTTGTTCTGAAAAATGCTAAGTTTAAGCATAATAACTCTTCCTGTTAAAAATGCTTTATTGGTTGTGTTTATTCATGGCTTATAACTATTGAAATTTGACAAAATTACATTGATGTGACATAATTCAAAAGTTTTACTCGCTTTTGGAGAGAAACGACACAAGAAGGATGAACTAAAAAAAAAACCCAGCAAGAGCTAGGAAGACAAACCTAGATTTCAAGGAAAAGGTGAATGGGTCACTCTACTTTCTCTTGCTAGGTTTCTCATAGTAAAGACTGAAAGAAGCAATTAGACCCAAAAGTATTTAGAAGAACACCAAAATGTTACTTACTGTCTTCTAATAAATCTGTGATATCCAATTCCAAAGATGGAAATATCTTATTGAACAACTTGAAATCTTTTCCAAATCGAGGCATTTGAATTATTAGGCATGAAGGTGCCTTAAAGAAAAATTGGACAATCATGGGGATTTTGATTATTCATATTATTTATTACATTCAAAATAAGCTACATGCTCAAAACTTTCAAAGCTTCATATAGTTTGTAAAAATAGTATGCAAATTAGAATCCAAGTATTGTAGTTTAGTCTAATCATATGAAGAAAGAGTTCAGGTATCCAGGTTCTCCAAATACTTCCAATTTCTTCAGGTGAATACCCATTAATTAATACTACTTTCTTTGATACACTTTTAGTAAAACTAAAACTTTGGTTAACTTTTTATTGCAAAATAAAATCAAAGACAATATCTTCTCTAATTCAGAAGGGTAAATTTTCAAGGCAGTTTCTCCCCTAACTCACAGGATGCTTGATGATTACTTTTAAAGGAAGTAATCCTAACACTAACCCTGTTCATTTAAAAATCAAAATTTAAAGAAAACTCTACCCTCCAAGATGAGCAGTACCTGTTTAAAGCTGCTTCAACATACATGATCTTCAATGACAATGACAACGTCAATTCCCCACAGCATTCACAGTTACTATCGTTGATGAAAACCACTAGGATTAAATTCAAATTCCAGTTGATTGCATGACGCCCTTTGTCAGTGCATGTCACAGTGACATGGGTTTTATACATGTTAAAAGCAAGTTAAAAATCAGTGTATCAACGTTAAATTAGAGCTCTCCTTGTCTGATAAAAGGCAACAGGAGTTCAAGGAGATCAAAAACTTGACCATATAAAAATTGAAATCTAAACACACTACCAAAACTAAACAAATCTGGACAGTGAACTCTGAGGATGAACATTTTATTAACTTACATGCATCCAAAATTACAAAAGAAACTTTGTCATGCTATTCTGAGATATTCATTTAAGTATTCCATACCTCAGCAAACTTAAGGTCACTAGTAATAAAGGACCATTCCAGCAACTGTTGAATTGTTGGGACACCAACGTTTTCATTTTTATCCATGAATATTTGGTAAAAGAAACAATCTTGTACTTTTTGCCCAGCTGATCTGTGTTGAAATAAATGTAAAGAAAAAATGAATTCTACCAAAGTGCGTATTTTGCCCAACTGATGGTGTAGTCAGTAAATTTGGTACTGAGAAGTACAAACCATATGAATCCAATTCCTTGTTCTTACTGTTTACCAGATTGATATCTGTATCAAACAAAAAATTGCTGGAGAAACTCAGCAGGTCTGACATCGCCCAAGAAGAGAAAGCAGTTAACATTTTGGATTCAGTGACCCTTCTTCAGAACTGCATCTGAAACGTCAACTCTGCTTACTCTCCATAGCTGCTGCCAGATCTGCAGAATTTTTCCAGCAATCTGTTTTTATTTCAGCTTTACATCATCCACAGTTTTGTTATATAGTATTGATATCTGTAACTTGAATTAGACACTAAAAGACAGAGATTTACAATGAGTTTATTGTACATCTATAATTTTTGCCCAAATGCCAGTTTCCACCTTTCTCTTTGGGATTCATTCCCAATCCAGAAGCCACCTGACAACTCAGGAAAAACCCAGGCCTTCTTTTTATAAAATTCACCCAATCATCTAATTAATAAATTAAGAAAACACCTAAACACACACATCAGGGCAGTGTGACTATAATCAAAAAACAAATACTAAAAACTGGAGAGGGGCAAGCAAGGTTGAGGGACTGAATCACAGCAGTGTTGGACAGGGAGATGATGAACTCCAGCCCCTGCAGCACCTACCTATCCTTAAAAGCTTTCAAGGCTACCAGTGGACAACATGTGCTCACTCTTCAAGGACACCTGGGCACAGACATAACCACAGAAAGAGCCCAGCTCTTTTTGTTTGAGAAACCTACCACCAAATTACCAGCTGGACTATTTTAAAATAGATCAAATTACATGTACTTCCCATCAGGGGTAGTGCAACAATAACAAAAAGGATAGGACAAAGTCAGAAATCACATGACACCAGATTATAGTCCAAGAGGTTAATGGGAAAAATCACACAAGCTTTTGGAGCGCAGCCCCTTCATCAGGTGCTGTGAGAGCGCTCAGCACACATACCCAGAGTTTACAGGCAGAGAGATCAAGGCAGAGAGGTCAAAAGATCATACACTCATGTGACTGGAGTGTCAGATGATAAATCTCTGCAGATGACCGAGAGTGTTAGACAGCGAGTAAAGCATCAACAGCTGAATAACCAGTGAAGGGATGGCCTATAATCCGACTATGTGAGACGGAGAGATAATTACAAAGAAATTAAAGATAAGGTGGTGCTGGAGACAGACTAAATGACTGGAATTGTATGTTGAATTTAAAACTGTGCAAACTCAAGATCCTAACAATTTATCATGGTGATGTTGTCAAAACAGGACAGAAAGGAAGATTTTACAGACACAGAACAGTATGGTGGGGTCACCTGTAACGCGATGAAGAGTATCTCGCCAAGATCTTCCCTACAGCACCACATCGTATCTTCAAACAACCGCTAAACCTTAAACAGACCATTGTTCACAGCAAACTATCCAGCCTTCAGGACATTGACCACAACACCGCACAAACCTCCCATGACAATCTCTGCAAAACATGGCAGATCATCAACATGGATACTACCATCACAGATGGAAACACCAACCCCCACATACATTGCAGATACTCATGTGACTGTGCCGATGTTGTCCACTTCAATATACTGCAGGCAAAGATGCCCAAGGCACGGTATATTGGGAAACCAGGCAGACGCTACAACAACAGATGACTGGACACTGCACAATCAATCATTGCCAAACAGGAACGTCCCCTCCCGGTTGGGAACATTTCAGCAGTCAAGGGTATTCAGTCTCCGATCTTGGGGTAAACATCCTTCAAGGCAGACTTCGAGATACACAACAACCCAGATTCACCTAGCAGAGACTGATATCCACTTCTGTACCCATGAAGATGGCCTCAACTGTGATCTTGGGTTCATGTCACGCAACAGGTGACCCCACCACAATGTTCTGTATCTGTTAAAGCTTCCTTACTGTTCTGTTTTGACACTATCACCTTGATAAGTTGTTAGGATTTCTCTACCTTAATTAGTTTGTACTGTTTTGTATTCAGCATGCAACTCCAGTCATTTAGTTTGTCTCCAGCACCACTTTATTTTCCAATTATCTCTCTGCCTCACATAATCGGATTATAGGTCATCCCTTCGCTAGTTATTCAGCTGTCGACACTTTACACACTGTCTAACACTCTTGGTCATCTGCAAAGAGTTATCATCTGACACATCACTCTCAACAATTGTACGATCTTTTGAGGGGAGGGGGAGGAGGGAGGGGGGATGGGGGAGGGGTGGGTGATGGGGGAGTCAGAGGGGGGAGAGGGGATGGGGAGGGAGCGGAGGGAGTCTCAAAGGCTACAGTGTTCCCAAGTGGAAAATGTGATGCTACTCTTCTGGAGCACTGGATCAAGCCCAAGACAGATGTTGGCCAGGGAACAATACGGTCTATTGGAGTGACAGGCAACAGGAAGCTCGGTTAGTTTTGCCAACAGAATGTAGGAGAGCCGCCAAGTGGCCGCCCAGTCTGCGTTTCATTTCTCCAATGCAGAGGAGACCACATTGCAAGCAACAAATACAGTAGACTAGATTGAGTGAAGTGCAGGTAAACTGCTGCTTAATCTGGAAAGTTTGTCTGGGGCTTTGGACAGGACGTAAAGGGAGGAACTAAAACAGGCATTCTCTGATGCATGGGAAGGTACTGGGGTAGAGAAGGAGTCCAAGGTGTGCCAGAGGGAATAGTCCCTGCAGAAGAGCTAACAAGAAGGATTCAGGAATGTGTGTCTCGCGGTGCTATCCAGCTGGAGATGGTGGAAATGTGGCTAATGATCTTTTGGATATGAATGCTGGTGGGGTAGTAAGTGAGGACCAGAGGACCCTATTGTAGTTGCAGTTGTGGGAGGGAAAAGAGGTGAGGGCACAAGCACGGGAAATGCGTTGGGCATGGTTGAGGGCCCGATCAACCATAGTATTGGGGAATCCTCAGTTGAGGAAGATGGTGGCATTTCAGAGGCTCCCATTGGAGCACCTAGTGCCAAGAGAAAAGATGTGATAGAAATGGAGAAACTGAGAGAATAGAATGGAGTCTTTATAGGAAGCAGAGAATATGTAATTAAGGTAACTGGGAGTCAGCAGGTTTGAAGTGGATACTGGTGACCAGCCTATATCCAGAAATGGAAAAAGAATGTCGAGGAAGGAAAGGGAGGATTCAGATGGACCAGGTGAAGGTGAGAGCAGGGTGGAAATTGGAAGTGAAATTGGTAAACTTTTCCAATTGCACACGAGAGGGGCAATGATGATGTCATCAAAATACCGGAGAAACACTTGTGGATGGGGATGCCTTGAGTAGGATGGAAACAAGGAATGTTCCACGTGCTCCATAAGGAGAAAGACATAATTGGGGCCCATGCGGACAACCAGGTCACACCTCTGACCTGAAAAAGAGAGGAGTTAAAGGAGAATTTGTTCAAAAAGTGAGGACAAGCTTGGCCTGGCAGGGGAGGGCGGTGGAGGATGTGGGCCATCCTGATCAGAGATGGACATGTAAAGGGATTGCACGTCTACAAAAATGACCTGACCTGACCTGACCTTCCTGTTGCCTGCCACTTCAACACACCAACTTGTTCCCTAGCCAACATCTGTCTCAAACTTGCTGCAGTGCTCCAAAAGAAGATCAGCGTAAGCTGGAAGAACAGCATTTCATTTTCCAATTGGGAACATTGCAACCTTCAGCACTCTAGTTAGAGATCAATAATGGTAAGGCCTGAGCACGTTCTCCCATCTCCTTACTGTAATTCCCACATACCTGACCTTGCCATCCCATGCTCAGCTACTAATGGTCCCAATTAGCAGCCACTGATTCCCCCAGGCTGCCCTTTACCTAGTTCTGTCTGTCCAACTGTTGTGTTCTTTCTCTCTGGGCTTTATCTCCACCTATCATTTACTCTCTACCACACCCAGTCCCATTTTCAGCATATATGTCACCGTTTTCCTAGCTACAATCAGTTCTGAAAAAGGATCATTGGACTGAAATGTCAACTCTGCTTTCTCTGCACAGGACCTGCCAGAACTGCTGAGTTTCACCATCAATTTCTGTTTCTGACCCTAATTAGATTTTTTTAAAAATTGACCTGTTCAGATGTGTTATGACACATCTCTGAAGCAGGCAGTCCAATGAGAATCATCTGCTCTCAATCAACTTTGGAGCTGACCAGATTAACCACGACAGGAATTTACATTTCAAACAAATTGTAGTGGTACAATGGCCCACAAATCTATTAGTATCTATATACCATGTGGACATTTGGAGAGACTGGTTTTTATGTGATGACATAATGTAATGCCAATATAATAATTTGTATAGTTGATTATTAACATTCATTGCACAAGGCCACTGCCTTTAGAATAAGGTCTCATTGCAAGACCAAACAAAAAAGGGTGAAGAAAACCAAATATTTTTGTACCGTCCTAACGTTATAGCAAAGATTTTGCCAAGGCAATGTGTTAAATCAAAAAGGTAGAATAAACAGATCTGGAGGTAGGTTTTAAACTCAAAAGGCCAATATATCATTACACACATTGATTGGTTCATAGGTACTGCCTCATCTCAAAGTGAAGTTTTCTCAGGATGTGGGAAACACTAGCAAAGTTTCGTTTTGTTTTTGCCCATTGCCTACCAGAAACAATGTTGTATGATGTTAGTGAATTTCTGCAGTCCTTCTGCTGATGGGATAGTCACTATTTTAAGTGCTAGAATTTCAAGATTCTGACCCAGCCACAACATAAAAAGAGAGTGATAGGAGAGTGATATGTGCCAAGTCAGGAAAATGACAGACTTGGAGAGAAACGTGGAAGCAACTACATAGAACATCAAATGATTTTGTAATCTTACCAACAGCTATTAGAAATGAACTAAAAAAAAGCTGCATGTAGTTGATAATTCCTTTAAATAATGCTGATGGCAGGTCTTTTCCATCGCCTGATGCAC